CCCCCCCCCCCAGGACAGAGGGTTGCCTCACCAAATCCCTTAACTCCTACCGGGGTCATAACAGGCCTGACTACTGCCGCCCTTGTCTCATTCATCTCTCCACAGTCTTCAGCAGTGGGGAGGGGCTGCTTCTTCCCCCACTTTACAGAGGGGGACACTGAGGTGGGCGGGGGGAATATTAGCAGTCAAGATTTCTGGGCCGAAAGTGGTGACTTGCCTCACTCCTCCCTCAGCCCCAGCAGCTGGCTTCCCATGGCCTGGATGGGCAGGGAACCCTCTGAGACCCCGAAAGGCCAGCAGAGGCCTGGTTCACCTTCTGCCTTTGCCCTGCTGCAGGTGCCCAGCAGAGTGCCACAGTGGCCAACCCGGTGCCCGGCGCCAACCCAGACCTGCTTCCCCACTTCCTGGTGGAGCCCGAAGATGTGTACATCGTCAAGAACAAGCCAGTGCTGCTGGTGTGCAAGGCCACGCCCGCCACGCAGATCTTCTTCAAGTGCAACGGGGAGTGGGTGCGCCAGGTGGACCACGTGATTGAGCGCAGCACGGATGGGAGCAGCGGTGAGGAGGGCTGGGCGGCAGGCGGACCGCATGGGGGCCCAGAGGGGCCCTCAGCCACCCTCTGCAGCCTGTGAGCAGGAGGCCGGGATGTAAACCGCTCTGCCCACCACCCAGATCCCGGGGAGAGGCAGGACTCCACGCCCAGGGCTTCTGTGCATACACCAACACCTGTCCTGGGAGTCCCCCCACCAGGCCTCACAGCTTGGTGGGGGAATAGTAGGGAAGACCCTGAAAATGCCCTGGGGGCCATGGATGGAGGAGCTCTGTCAGCTCAAGCAGTGCCCGGGCAGCTGTGCCAGCAAAAAAGGGGGTTTGGAGGGAGTGGGTCCCAAATGATTGAAGAATTCAGGGACTAACACTCTGTGATTATTAATTTTTGCGTCCATTCATTTCTTCATTCATTTACACATTCCTTGAGCCCTCGCTCTGTGCTGGGGACACAGCCCCACAGAACGGTGGGCAGCATGTTGACCTCAGCGAGGCCGGGGGGCTATGGCAGCCAGAGGAGAGCAGGACTGAGGCTGCCTGGGGAGGTGACATGGAAAAGGAGGGGGCATAGTAACTGGTCAGGGAGAGAAAAGGGGAAGGTGTCCCAGGGAAGGGACACAACACAACAAAGGCCTGGAGGCAGATGAGCAGCATGCAAGTTGGGGGTCAGCAGGGAGAGTGTGGGGTGTGCAAAGGGGGCAGTAGTGTCATCCAGTAGCCTCACCCGTTTGGCTCCGGTGTGAGGTCACAGTCCCATGGGATTTCCAGCTGCCATGTAACATGGACAGAGCTATGGGTGATGCTCAGGGCCAGTGTAGGGGCCTGAAGGGAGGGGCAGATCCAGAGATACGGAGGAGAGGGAACCAGTGGGCCTTGGCTGAGCCATGGAGAGAGGGTTTCCAGGGCAACAAGCAGACCCAAGAAGTGCCCCTTCTGTAGGAGACCTCATGCCCCGCCCCCAGCTGGGCCTTAGGTTGCAGGGGGGCAGTGGGGGCCAGCATTCCCCATGAGCAGAGCAGTGGAGCTGACAACAGCCTCCTCCTCACTAACTGGACCCCAGTTAAGTTCCCCTCCTCCCCCGTAGCACTGGTGCTTTGTGGAGCCCTCAAGTTAAGTCCTGAGCGCCTTCCTCCAGAGGCCTCGGCCAACCTGAGACACATACTCCCTGTGGGGTATGGCCAGCAGAGTGAGGCCAGAGTGACAGTGCAGCCGGGGACAGGCAGGCTGTGCCCTGAATAACTCACACTGATGCCAAGGCAGGGGACCTCGGGCCCTTAGAGGTGACCCATGCTCCAGGCAGGAGGTACTGGGTGACCCAGGAAGGATCCCAGAGAAGAGTATTATACAAGCTTCATCTTAAAACCAACCTGGAGCCAGCATTTCCCAGGCCAAGGACCAGAAATGCTGATGTAGGAATGGCAGGCTAGCAGTGGGGCCAGATTGGGACAGAAGTGGGCTGTGGACAGACTTGCACTGTGGGAAGTTGGTGCTGGGCAGAGGCAGGCTGAAGAAGGGCAATTCCTGCCCGGGAGAACAGGTGGCTCTCACAATAACCTGGATGAGAGCTAACAAGCCCTGAGTTTAGGCCGAGTGTGATTCAGCCCTCAGAACCAGCCTGTTGATTAGAGATGGGATGGAGGCTTTGGCTCTGGCTCCTACAGGACCCCAAAAAGGCTCCAATCAGGCGTTCTGGTGTGCACAGAACTCACACCCCATCCTCCCAGGGTCAGCAGGGGCTGGTCTCCTACCCTTAGTGATACAGATTGGTGAGAAGGTGAGAACCTGAGCCCCAACTTGGCCTCAGAGCCCCCACCCTGTCAATCCTCTACCTCCATAAATACCCAGCACACACTCCCCCCCAGGCCTCCCCACATCCCCCTGCTCACACCCCACATGCTCCTGGGCCTGAAGGGACCTTCCCTTCCTCCCTGTCCCTCCCCAAGGCTGGCATCTGCTCACATTTACCAGGCAGGTGCAGACACAGCCATGCCCAGAAACTGCACCCAGGATTCAGGCTGCTCTGTGACCTGCAGGGAAGCAGGCACAGCCCCTCAACTCATGGACCGGTCAGGGCAGAGTCTGAGTCTCCCTCTGGGTGCACCACCCTCCTGGATCTTGTAGGGTTCAAGGGTGCTGCCTGGAAGTGGAACATGATGGACAAACTTGGCCCTCATTCATGGCAGCAGGAAGGAGACGAGGAGGTGGCAGGACAGAAGTGGGAGGAGGCAGAGAGAAAGAAATAGGCACACTTAAATTTAGTGCTGTTCTCCCAGGCTGACTTGCCGGGCCGTGCGTGAGCTCACCCACCCCCACACGGGATGGTGTGGCCCACCCATAGACCTGTCCACGGGAGAGAAAAACTTCCCAGTTCAGAATATTCTGGAGGTCTGCACCCCTGGAGTGTGGGCATGGCTTCTACTCAGATGCCTCAAGACTTGGGGTGCTTGACAAGTGGCTGGTGCCCAGGGCCCCTTCTATACACAGACCCTGTGAGGGCCCCTCTATTCTCAGCCCTCACCACACCCCCAGTGAACCCAGATAATGACCTCAGCCAGAGGTGCCCCCCAATCTCTTGTGAGAGCTAACCAGTGGCAGGAGCGAGGTGTGGACCTAGATGGGGTCTGGAGAGACTCGTGAGGAGGGGACCTAGGTGGGGTCTGGAGAGACTCATGAGGAGGGGACCTAGGTGGGGTCTGGAGAGACTCGTGAGGAGGGGACCTAGGTGGGGTCTGGAGAGACTCGTGAGGAGGGGTATGGACAGGGGTCAGGGAAGACACAGTAGAGAAATTAAGAGAGAAGACAGCCTCCCAGCTCAGCTGGACCGCTGCTCCTCCTGCAATGCAGCCCTAATTGAATTTCTCTGTTAACAATGGAAACACATTGCTGCCCGGCCTCTCTCCCTCTTTCTGATAAGCCAATGACCCGAGGGAAATTGGGGTCAGAAGGAGGAGAAATTGGAAACAAACAGTCTTTTCTCACTCCTGGGACACTGGTTTTGGCCGAAGGCCAGGAGGCTAGAGGGCTGCGTCCGTTCTGGCTCCATAGAAGGTCTGGGTCCTCCTCACACCCCCACTCCCTGGGTCCCAGTGTGGCCAAGGGCAGGGGCCTGAGTCCATTCTTGAGAGAGGTCCTTTAGCCCATCTGGTGCAGAGCAGGCCCTGATATCCATCCAAGGTCAGCCTCCCCCTGTGGGCCACCCTTGCCAACATTTCTCCCTATGGTCTGGGTACTCCCAGCCCACCTCAGCGTGACTACAGGGCACCCTCAACATGCTTTGGACTCAGACAGCCATAGGAGAAGGCCCTATGACAAGCCCTTCTCCTGGGAGCCTCTGTTCCCTCATCCATAGTGGGAGCTATACGTCCAGGGTGTGGATGACGGAAGATAAGCGAGCGTGTAGGAATTGCTCGCTAAGCCCAGGGGTCTATTATCATACTAGGCAATGGGGGTAATTATATTGTTAATAGCTGCTATTATGTTATCACATGTCAGGATCCACCTGCTAACCCCCAGGGAGCTGAACCAGATCCTTCCTCATCCTTTTTCAACCCACAAAGCCCTCAGAGCTGGCCAGTCTGCCCCACCCTTTCTTCCTAGGGTCCTGGGGGGCCAGCCCCTGCTGCCGGAAGCCCTTTTAGGGACAATTCTTTAAGTGACTCCAGGGAGACAGGCCCCTGGGTAACGAAGTATAAAGAATGAAAGTGCTAAGAATCTACTCCTGGCCTTCAGGGCATATAAACTGAGTCCCCCCGAGTTCCCTCTAAGTTGAGAGTTGCCCCAGTGTCTGCTCTGAACTGGAACAGGGAGACTTGGTGTGGCCCTGGGCCCTAGCTACCCACCCTTCCCGTCCCCAGGCCTGCCCGCCATGGAGGTCCGCATCAATGTCTCGAGGCAGCAGGTGGAGAAGGTGTTTGGGCTGGAGGAGTACTGGTGCCAGTGTGTGGCCTGGAGCTCCTCAGGCACCACCAAGAGCCAGAAAGCCTACATCCGAATTGCCTGTGAGTCCAGGGCCCTGCCCTCAGGCAGGGGTGGTGCAAGGGTGTCACTGGGGGAGGGGATCCTGTCAGAAAGCCTCGGGTCCTGCCTTGATGGGAGGAAGGGTCTATGGGCACTTGGCACATCCTCCTGCCATGCGCCATGGCTCCTGTGGGACCCAGGCACCGCGCTGGCCAGGCTGACCGGCGCCAGGCGCACAGGCTGAAGGACACTCTTGTTCTTCCAGACCTGCGCAAGAACTTCGAGCAGGAGCCGCTGGCCAAGGAGGTGTCCCTGGAGCAGGGTATCGTATTGCCCTGCCGCCCACCAGAAGGCATCCCCCCAGCAGAGGTGAGGGGGGCTCCCAAGCTCAGCTCCTGCCTGCCCAGTCCCCGGACTGACCCCCCAGGGACTGTTCTCACTCCAGGCAGTGCAGTGGTGTGGCTCCCTCCCCCAGGTGGAGTGGCTCCGGAATGAGGACCTGGTGGACCCGTCCCTGGACCCCAACGTGTACATCACTCGGGAGCACAGCCTAGTGGTGCGACAGGCCCGCCTGGCCGACACGGCCAACTACACCTGCGTGGCCAAGAACATCGTAGCCCGACGCCGCAGCGCCTCGGCTGCTGTCATCGTCTATGGTGGGCCCCGGCGCTGGTGATGTGGAGGGGGAGGCACAGAAGGTGTCCTCAGGGTGGCACTGTGACCGGCTCCCCAGGGAGCCAAGCCCAGGTGGGCAGGCTCTGGCCTGGCTGAGAAGGGCAGGGACCTTGCTGCGGCTATTGAGAAGCCGAAGGACCCGTCTGGGCGAAGGTGTGGGGTGGGTTGGTCGTCTGTGGCCATGCCATCCCTTGGCTTACTTGTGGGCAGGGGGCATTGTGCAGAAGGAGATGAGGGTTCAGAGGGAGACTAGGAAAGGTGACCTTGGGTGGGAAGTAGTGTCCTGGGCACCCCCAGGAGCAGGCAGAGGAAGGGGGTGCAGGAGTTGCCCCCTCTGAAAGGCTGGGGTCTGAGCCGGAGGGGCCTGGGAGCTACAGTTAGGACTGGCTGCCCCTAGTGGCCACAGCGCCTGCTGGCGGAAGGAAGGGGCTGTGGATTGGGCAGCCCAGCCCCAGGGGCTATTGGCAGAGTGCGGCCTCCCCTCCAGGGCTCCCCTTCCAGCCCTCCTGCCCTGGTCCCTGGGCCAGCATGTCTGCAGAGGCCCCCGCTCCCTGACCCCAGTCCTTCTCTGTCCGGCCAGTGAACGGTGGGTGGTCGACGTGGACCGAGTGGTCCGTCTGCAGCGCCAGCTGTGGGCGCGGCTGGCAGAAAAGGAGCAGGAGCTGCACCAACCCGGCGCCTCTCAACGGGGGCGCCTTCTGTGAGGGGCAGAATGTCCAGAAAACAGCCTGCGCCACCCTGTGCCCAGGTACCAGCGGCTGCTGCCTCCCGCATCGCTCCTCACCTCGCCATCTCCGTGCCCTGGCTCCATCACACCCACCAGCCTGCCCCCCATGGCTCCATCCCACCCGCCCGCAGGCAGGGCCAGGCTCAGTCCAAGACCAGGATGGGGTTCAGTGTGATGGAGGCAGGGCTCGGTCCATGTCCGGCTCAGTCTCGGCAGAGGGTCTGAGCCCCAGGGTCTGAGGTACAGTCAGGACAGGTACAGTCAGTGTGGGGCAAGGGCAGGGCTTTGCCAGGGGCACCCTCACTGCCCCAGGGCCAGGACAGCCCCCTGCTGTGGGTATAGCCAAACAGGCAGGTGTCATTTTGCCTCCCATCATTAACATGTGTCATCCAGGCCAGGTGGACACCAGAGGGCGTGCAGACTGGTGGGCCTGGGCCTGGCCCTGGCCTTGCACCCAGAACCTGAGCTGGCTCCCCAGGCTGACAGTGCCATCTCCTCTCTTCGTGTCTGTCTCTCGTCTAGTGGATGGCAGCTGGAGCCCGTGGAGCAAGTGGTCGGCCTGTGGGCTTGACTGTACCCACTGGCGGAGCCGTGAGTGCTCTGACCCAGCACCCCGCAACGGAGGTGAGGAGTGCCGGGGTGCTGACCTGGACACCCGAAACTGCACTAGCGACCTCTGTGTGCACAGTGAGTCCTCTCCGCCCTGGGAGTCCTCTTGAGTTTGCCAGGTAGCCCTGCCCAGCTCCAGGGAGGTGGTGGCTAAAGGAGTTAGTCCCCTGCCACAGTCTGCACCCCCTCTCCAAAGCTCAGGACCCTGGAGGACCCCCATCATAAACACCCACACATGTGCCCCTGCACACCCCAATACATCTCTCACCTCCCCCAAAACATGCATACATTTGAGCTTTTACTGTGCACATGCGGCCCCTCCCCCGCCTCTTGCAGCTTTACCCCTCCCTGTCCCCCAAGTGCATACGCAAGTCCTGTGGGGACACCAGGCTTGTGAGGCCTGTTAATTACAAGGCCATAACTAACAATTAAAGATCTCTGTTGGATTTTTTTCTCTAGAACACACCCTCCCCCATTCTTTCAATTAAAAACCTAATTATCTGTGTCAATTCCTTTCTGATGGACATTTCTTCCATTATGCAAAGCCCTTCTAAAATCAATACAACTCCCTTTAGGCAGTCAATCACCCCTCCCCAGCCCTGCCCCAGGCCTAGAGAGGCAGACAAGAAGAGCCCTGGCAGGGACCTACCAGGAACCAGATTGGCAGACCCCTCCAGGAAGCAGATCCCCTGCTTTGGGGGTCCTGGGCACAGCTCCAGCTGCCCTGGGCCCCAGAAGAGTGGGTTCAGTCTCGCAGCCCCATCCAAGGCCGCCTGGGGAAGTGTCTCTTCCTCACCCTTCTCTGGGAGCAGCAACCTCAGCCTGAATTGAGCCTGTGAGGGATGTGGGATGTGATTTGCTCAGAGTGACACAGCGAGGTGGTGGGCAGATGCAGGGCTGGGATGCATGCGTGCTGACTCCATGCGCCCTGCGCCAGCATCCGCTGCCCCAGTAGTGCTGATGCCCAAGGAGTGGGAACCGCTGACCTCTCCTTACCCGCCTCCCGCACCTGCCCCTCCAAGGTCGTTCTCTCTCTTGCAGCTGCTTCTGGGCCTGAGGACGTGGCCCTCTACGTGGGCCTCGTCGCCGTGGCTGTGTGCCTCCTGCTGCTGCTGCTGGTCCTCATTCTCATTTATTGCCGCAAGAAGGAGGGGCTGGACTCAGACGTGGCCGACTCGTCCATCCTCACCTCGGGCTTCCAGCCCGTCAGCATCAAGCCCAGCAAAGCAGGTGTGATGCCTCTGCCCCCAGCACTCCTGCCCTGGCCTCCATGCCAGGGTCTGCCCGGACGGGGCCACCGCCAATGCCATTCCCTGAGTCTGTCTTTATCCTGCAGACAATCCCCATCTGCTCACCATCCAGCCAGACCTCAGCACCACCACCACCACCTACCAGGGCAGCCTGTGTCCCCGGCAGGACGGGCCCAGCCCCAAATTCCAGCTAACCAACGGGCACCTGCTCAGCCCGCTGAGTGGTGGCCGCCACACACTGCACCACAGCTCGCCCACCTCCGAGGCTGAGGACTTCGTCTCCCGCCTGTCCACCCAGAACTACTTCCGCTCCCTGCCGCGTGGCATCAGTAACATGGCCTACGGGACCTTCAACTTCCTCGGGGGCCGGCTGATGATCCCTCATACAGGTGGGAAGGGCCTGAAAGAGCCCCGGGGAGCTCTAAGAGGCAAGAGCAGTCTCCATGTCCCTCACGGAGGAGAACATCCCTGATGTCCTTCCTGTGCCTCTCAGCCTCACCCCAAACGCTGAGCTAGGCCAGCAAGGAAAGAATGTCAAGTTTGGGAGACGATCCAGTTGCGGCTGGTGGTGGGGCTGGCACTGAGGCTGTGGCCAGAGCTGTCTCCCCCCTGTGGCCTAGGACACAGGACTTCTGTCCATTCATGTACGAGGCCAGCCTGCATGTGCCGGGGTCTGGGAGGGCCCTGGCTTCAAGGTGGGGCAGGTAAAGAAACAGCAGAAGACAAACACCTTGATGGGGCTCCCCCACCCACCACCTCACAGAAACCCTTCTGACAGGGTCTCTGAGACACCTCGTTAAAGAATCCACGATCATCTTTCAAAGAAGCGCCATAGCCTCTGGTGTGGCTGGCCACTCCCACCCTGAAATTCTCTTTTCCCTCGGCTTAGATGACCCCACATAGCCCTGATTTTCTGGCATCTCTTCAGCCTCTCTGGGTGCCTGTTCCCTAAATGTAGGTGTTCGTCAGAGCTCCCTCCTGGCACCCTCTCCCACTCCACGGCTTTAATCGCCATATTTGTGCAGATCACTCCCACTCCTAATTCCCAGCCACAGTTCTCCTGGGCAACAAAATTGTACACCCAGATGCCTCCTGGGCAGCTCCATCTGGATGTCTCACAGAACCTCAGATTCCTTGTGCCTAAAACAGCATTGTCTCCCACCCTCCCCCAGAACCTCGTGCTTCCTGGCTTTCCCCACCTCAGGGACAGCACAGTCGAGTCAGAAACTAGGAGTCACCCTGACCTCCTGCTTTTCTTCACTTGCCGCCTCATCCCTACACCAGCTTCAGTCACACACTCATCCCATCGTCCTTCCTCCTCACATGCTCCTGCATCCCCCGGCTGCTTGTCTTCCCCCTGCCTCTCCTGGCCCTGACCACTGCGCCTGCCTGTCATCTGATTCACAGCTCCTGGCATTCACCCAGTGAAGCCACACTTCATCATGCCCCTCTCCTGCTTGAACCCTTTCCAGGGCTCCCCAGTGCCCCCTACAAAGCCTACGTGACAAGGCCACAAAGGCCTGCCCCCTGCTGGCCAATTGTGGTGGCCTCCTCCCTCCTGAGCATGCTTACCCTGCGCATGGCAGCCACAGCGGGCGCCCGGCCCCCACGTACACCCTGCTGCGCTCTGCACACACGAGTCGCTCTCCCCATCCACCGGGTCTTGGCCTGGCAACCCTCCCTCTCTGTGCTTCACGTCTCTGCCACAGGGATGAGGTGAGATGTTCCATGCCAAGCTCTTAGGAAGGGGCGAACACACAGGGGTGTTCAGTGACCATTGTGGGGCGGTCTCCCCCAGCGCCCAGGACTCTTCACTGCCATCCACTTGTTCTCCGCGCTGGGCTGGGTGCTTCTTGAGAGCAGGACCCGTGGTTTTCCCTCCCCTTCCTGAGTACCTGTACTTGGAGTGAGCATTTATTGACTAAGAATGCAGATGTGTTCGCACTCAGGTCTCTGGGACTGTCATCAACACTGGGAGCTGGTACCAGGAGGCAGCTCTGGCTGGCGAAGGGAACAGTAGCTGTGATACCCCATCACTGGCTCCCTCCTCCTGAGAGGGGAACGTGGTGACAGTCCAGCCGGCCCACCCAGTTGCCGACTCTGGAAAGCATTCACGTGCTTTCAGATTTGGTGGGATAAAGTCATAGAATTTTTGTCCCCTCTTCTAATGTAGGGCAGGAAGGTGGGGCACGACCACCCCTCGCCATCCTCAGAGCAACTTCCCAGCCTCTGTCCTCTGTGTCCTGCCTCACTGCAGCCCCGCTGGAACTGCCCTCCCTCAGCAGGCACTTTCTGATGCTTCCCCTGCAAGTGCTGGGGCAGAAGTAAATCAGCCAGAAAGGAAGACAGATGTGCAGTGGCTCCCAGACCCGGGAGGGCTATCTAGGCAGGCAAGGTCGTTCAACGCCCGGGCCCCACCTGCAGGGGGCCACTGCCAAGTGAAGAGCAAAGTCATTCAGGGTGGCAGAGAGCTGCCATCCCCAGAGGTGGGGGAAGCCTGAGCAGGGCCGGAAGGCAGGGCAGCCAGACAGAGGCAGCTCCGGGCAGTGGTTCCTGAACAGCGAGCATGCAGCACAGGCTGGGCTGGTGAGGCTGCTGGGAAGGCAGTTGGGGCCAGAGGTGAAAGGCCTTAAATGCCAGGCCAGGGAACTGGACTTTATCCAGTAAGAATAAAGAGAAGGTTTTAAGGAGGGCCATGGGGGAGGGAGGTACAGCATACCCGGCACCTTTTGTTTCAGTGTTTTATGTACCCAGGCTAACTGGGCATGCTTTTCCCACCCAGGTTTCTTTGGCCTCTCTTGGGGTTACTGTGACTCAGCTTCCTACCTGTGTGGGTAGTTGGACAGTCCCTGTGGCATCTCTATCCCCAGGCCAAGCTACCACTGATCAGTCCTCAAAGGGAGACTTATAAGGGGCTGGCAGGGTAGGGTGTTTGGTGTCTTCGCAGCCTGGTAAGCCTGGCCCTCCCCTCACTCTGTCACAGGGATCAGCCTGCTCATTCCCCCCGATGCCATACCCCGCGGAAAGATCTACGAGATCTACCTCACGCTGCACAAGCCGGAGGACGTGAGGTGTGGGCTTGGGCCCTGCCCCTGAGGCTGGGTGGACCCTGCCCCTTGCCTGCAGTCACCAGGAAAGCCCCTGCCCAACCACTGCTGGGTCTTGTCCTGTCTGGCCTGAGGGGGGCCTGGGGAAGAGCTGCCCCTAAGTTCAACCCAGCTCTGCTCCCGACCCTGGATGCCGCTGCCCTGCCCCATCCTGCCCGGTTCCAGGATGGCCCATTGATGCCTTTCCCTCCCCACCCATATTTCCCCACTTGAGGTTGCCCCTAGCCGGCTGTCAGACCCTGCTGAGTCCCATCGTTAGCTGCGGGCCCCCCGGAGTCCTGCTCACCCGGCCTGTCATCCTTGCCATGGACCACTGCGGGGAGCCTAGCCCTGAGAGCTGGAGCCTGCGCCTCAAAAAGCAGTCCTGCGAGGGCACTTGGGAGGTGAGCCTCACTGCCCACCCCAGGGAGCCAACACAGACCCCCAGTGGAGCCCAGCTTCCCACCTGGCCCTTGATCCAAGTCCCTGTCCCCAGTCTCTGGCCACCCCTCGGAGCTGCACTTGGCCATGAGTTGATCCATCTGGACCTCCCCACAGGACGTGCTGCACCTGGGTGAGGAGGCACCCTCCCACCTCTACTACTGCCAGCTGGAGGCCAGCACCTGCTACATCTTCACGGAGCAGCTGGGCCGCTTTGCCCTGGTGGGAGAGGCCCTCAGTGTGGCCGCTGCCAAGCGCCTCAAGCTGCTTCTGTTTGCCCCCGTGGCCTGCACCTCCCTGGAGTACAACATCCGAGTCTATTGCCTGCAGGACACCCGAGATGCACTCAAGGTATTGCCCAACCCCACCTGCCGCAGGGAGGTGGCATGCCTGGCACTGAGGGCGGAGGGCCCCTGGCCCTCGGGAAGGTGTAGGGGGCTCTCCCCACCCCCAGGCTCGGCTGACCACCTGGGGCGCTGCAGGAGGTGGTGCAGCTGGAGAAGCAGCTGGGAGGACAGCTGATCCAGGAGCCTCGAGTCCTACACTTGAAGGACAGTTACCACAACCTGCGCCTGTCTATCCACGACGTGCCCAGCTCCCTGTGGAAGAGCAAGCTCCTCGTCAGCTATCAGGTGAGGGTGCTCAAGGTGCCTGGAGCTGGGCCCACCAGACACCGAGCACACCTGACGCTGCCCCTCTGCATCCCCCCCAGGAGATCCCCTTTTATCACATCTGGAACGGCACACAGCAGTACCTGCACTGCACCTTCACCTTGGAGCGTGTCAGCCCCAGCACCAGTGACCTGGCCTGCAAGGTGTGGGTGTGGCAGGTGGAGGGTGACGGGCAGAGCTTCAACATCAACTTCAATATCACCAAGGTGGGCAGGGAGGGCATCAGCACTGCCCTAATGTGCGCCACACACCCGGCCTACCCTGACACCTCCTCCTAGAAACCAGAAACCACTTGGCCTTTTCCTCTGAGTCTCCAAGGAGAGGTGTAAGTGCAGACAGGCAGATGCAGACAGATGCAGTGGGACTTGGGAAGGGACTGAAGAGGATGTGGGAGCAGCAGGAGAGGAGGGGTGGAGCGTCCTGGGCTTCGAAGGATCAGTAAGAGTTAGGCAGCACCACGGGAAGGGCAGCATTTCTGGCAACGGGCACTGAGTTCAAGGACACAGGCGGTGAGAGGAGCACAGTGAGTCCTGAGTGTTCAGCAGACTCTGGGCAGGGGTGACTGGGAAAGGCCGGTGGGAAGGAGGGGAGTGAGGCCAGATGGCTCCACTGCTCACTGGCTGTGTGACTTTGGACAGGTCACTACAGCTGAGCCCCAGTGAGGGGATGCCCAGGAAGCCCCAGTGCTCATGTGGCACCATGCTCTGGGGTGGTGTGGGCACTCCCCCAGCAGGAGGTTTCAGTGGGCCTGGGCCAGGGAAAGTTCTAACAACACCTTCACCTCTTTGCACCACCAGGACACAAGATTCACTGAGCTGCTGGCTCTGGAGAGTGAAGGGGGGGTCCCAGCCCTAGTGGGCCCCAGTGCCTTCAAGATCCCCTTCCTCATTCGGCAGAAGATCATTACCAGCCTGGACCCACCCTGTAGCCGGGGTGCCGACTGGCGGACTCTGGCCCAGAAACTCCACCTGGACAGGTGCATGGGAGATGGGCAGGGAGGGATTGCAAAGGCCACCTGCAGTCCAGACTGGCAGGGTAGGAAGGGTGGGGTGGACAGGACACTCTATGGAGCTTATGCCCCATCTACCAGCAGCCAGGGCATCGAGTATGCATGACAGAGGGGATGCCCTGCCTTTAGGTGGGCTGGGTGGCAGGAGGCAGTAGCCCGGGGTGAGGCCAGGCTACTAATGGACTCCCTTCCTCCTCTCCCGTCCACAGCCATCTCAGCTTCTTTGCCTCCAAGCCCAGCCCCACAGCCATGATCCTCAACCTGTGGGAGGCAAGGCACTTCCCCAACGGCAACCTCAGCCAGCTGGCGACAGCAGTGGCAGGACTGGGCCAGCCAGACGGTGGCCTCTTCACAGTGTCGGAGGCTGAATGCTGAGGCCAGCCAGGCCCCCAACACCTACACTCTCACCAGCTTTGGGACCCACCAGGGACAGGCAGAAGCCTGATGGGGCCCCTCCCCACACCCAGGGGAGCTGCCTGGACAGGCCCCCTCCTGGTGGACACTGTCCCTTCACACTGGCCCTTCAGACCCTGCCCACGCTCCCACCCCTCCGTGGCCTGCCAGGCCAGGCTTGGCATTGCCACCTGCCCTGAGGGCCGAAAGCCAGGCCAGGCCCAGCCCATCTGTGTGTGTGTATGTGTGTGGTGCTACCTCTCCCCCTGCCTCTGGCCGGGGGCCGCACACACGCGGCATGCGCGCACACGCTGGGCTAGGGATGTGGCCCTGGAGCTCCTGCCTGAGCTGGACCTTATGCAAACATTTCTGTGCCTGCCAGGTAGGGGCACGTCTGAGGGGCCCGGCTCCAAGCCTGTGGGACTGAGGGCCACAGCCGGATGGGGGGGCGGCCCTGGATTCAGGCACACGACCCCCACACAGGCATGTGCCCACGCATGTCTCGTGTGTCATCTCACCAGCTTCCACCCTCCCCCGCACACACATCTCATGCTGTACACCTGGAGGCCACTCACATCTCTCACGCCCGGTATCAGTCCACATCTGCCTCTCACATGCTGCCCTTCTCCCACCCACCCAGGGACACCCAAAGGCTCCTCCATGATCCCCCCTTCCCCCAGCCAGGAGGAGCCTGCCCAGATGGGGCGTGTGAATATGCAACGGGAGTCCTGGGCTGGTCAATGGCGAGTGTGCGTGCCGTGGCGTGCCCGCTCCTGGGCCTGTCGTGTGAAGCTCGTGCCCTGACTCTGTCTTAAGTGCATTCACGCACTTACACTTGGCCTTATGTACACAGCCTTGCCCAGCTGCCGGGGCGCGTAGGGATTTTAGCGGACGTGAATGTAAATAAATTATATATATATTGCTAACCCGAGTGCTGCTTCTCTCGGGGAAGCCAGAGGTTGAGGCCAGTGGCCACAGAGGGGTCACATGCAGGCTGTTCTGAGAGTCCTGGGTGGCTGGGCCTGGCTGGGGGACAACTGGGTCCCTGGCCCTAGTCCAGCACAGCTGGTTCCTGGAGACGTCTTCAGACATGGGCCAGCTGGGCCAGGCGGCAGGCAACAGCAGTGACCAGGGCTGCACCTTTGCCCGACCCATCCTCTGACTGCAGGAAGGTGACCACACAGCGAGGGGCCAGCTCTTGCACAGTGGCTGCCACCAGGCGAGAGAAGCTGTGAAGGGGAAGGGCTGAGGTGAGCCCAGGCCAGCCAGGCCCTATTTGGCCATGTCTCCCACCTAGCCTGGCACCCAGACTCACTGGGGGTGCAGCTTGTAGAGGGTCCCATCCACTCCCACAGACACAGTCAGCTCTTCCAGGCCCCGGTTCTCACGGATCTTCTCCACCACAGCAGCCACACCCGCTCCGCAGAGCTGGGCCGCCCGCTGGGACACGGCCTGGCACACCTCCAGGACCATCAGGGCATCATCCGAGGTCAGGGACAGCCCCAGATCCTCAAGGATGGCTCGGACCTGTCTCAGAGCCAGGCTGTCACTGGGGACAAGAAGGAATAGAGAGCACAGAGAGGTAGGGTCCGGCATTAGCTCCCCCGTCTCTATGACCACCATCCTCCAGGGTGAATCTCCCTCCTACGAGCATTCCACCCAAAGTGAACAGAAAGACCCTTTGAGAAGTGGGAGGAGGTAATGCAGGTCTCAGCACCTTTCAATCTCAGACAGAAACTTGGTCTTAAAAATGTCCCTGGTCTGAAGGCACTGGGACAGCTGACCCCGGAAGAGAACTCCAAGACTGGTCAAATGCAAGAGGACGTGGCGGACGATCTCCCCCAGGTACATGCCACTGATCATCTTCTCAAACCTGCATGAAAGTGTGTGTACCCACAGGGTAGGAGATCCCACCAACTACTATCACCAGTGGAAGTCACCACCAGCCACCCCTGCCCGGCCCGGCCCACACCTCTGTTTGCCAGGGTTGATGGTCGCCTGGTCCACACTTGCATCGAAGCAGGTGCTGAGCATATCCAGAGACCCATCATCCCCAAAAGCACCCCACTCCATGTTGATGCACATGTGGCCTGTGTCCCCAGCCACTCCCTCCACATTCCGGAGCTCCTCCATGTAGCAGGCATTGGTGCCAGTTCCTGCAGAAAGGCCAGATGAAGTGGGAGCCATTTAATAAACCAGACAAGACCCCTCTGAGCCTTTCCTGCACTGAGATGGCAAAATTCCGGCTTACTTTTTACCTCTCCATCTCCGCACATTCATGCCCTGCCCCAGGTCCTGGTCTTCTTTTCCGACATTCCTTCTGCAGATTCTGCCAGCACCAAGCCCTCCGGGCCACCACCACTTCCCCTACCAGCACCACCATCAGTGCATCTCTCATGCTACCCCAGGCACTCCTAAAGATGCCACCAGCCATGTCATTCCCCTGGGAGATGTGTAACAGCCCCCCATTGCCTGCAGGAGAGAGGCCTAAACTCCCCAGACTGGTCTTCGGGTCTTTAATCAGACTATCAGGTGCTGGGCCAAGAGCTACCCATGTAGACAGGAGTCAGACAAGAGGAGCCCACAGTGGCCAGAGGCAGGGCAATGAGCAGCCAACTCAGATACTGCCTGTATGTGCCCAAATCAAGGAGTCCCAATGAATCGTCCTGCCTAGAGGGTCAGGAAAGGCTACAGAGAAGAAGCGACATTGGGATTTGGCCTTGAAGCCAAGAAGCACAGAAAGGAACAGTATTCCAGGCAGAGGGCAGAGGCATCCCCTTCCTATCCCCAACACACGGTCAGCTCTAGGCAGGGGGACCTTTTGTCAGCCCCACCTGGACTTCCTCCATCCAGTGGTTTATTCCCATGGCAACCTGGGCATACCTCTCTGAGCACCTCCCCATGCCAGGCTCTATCTTCAAGAAGCTCCCGGTCCCATGAGAGGCTATCATGCACCTCGTGCTTTAAGAGACTGATGCCTGAGGACCTGTGGGAGCCCTCCTCCACCTAGCCAGATCCCTTCTTCTTTTAAGGCTTTCATTGCAAGTCCCACTCATTGCGGGACCCCTTCCTTTCTGAGCTCAGCCTGTCGCCCTGGCTACAGATTCAGATTCAGATCTCTCTGATTGCCACATGCTATTCTTGGCTTAACCCCTGCTAAACGGTCAGTTCTGAGAAGGCACGTGTTTCCCCTCTTCTTTATGTATTTTCCTGCCCCTTCACCAAGCCCCCAGCTGGCCACAGGACAGATGTTTAATAAAGACTCAGAATCTTGGATAACCTGAAGGACCCTCACAGCTCATTCTCTGTCAACTCCCGGCCCCACCCAGCTCCAAGCACCGAGAGTACCATGAGCCAGGCACTGTGCCACTCTTTGCCTCAAGACACGTGTTATTATCTCCATCTTAGAGATGAGGAAACTGATGCGCTGGTGACCTGCCCAAGGTTGTACAGGTGGAAGTGACAGAGCCAGTATTCCCACCCAAATCTATATGATGCCAAAGCTGATTCATCTAATAGAAGGGCAAACTGAGGCTCAGAGAGCAATGAGCCAGCAGCTGAGCTTGGCTAGACACCCCAGCTCCAGACTCTTAGCCCAATAGAGTGTTCCAGGGGCCCATTGGGTCAGATGGGAATGATCCCACACCCCCAAGGCCAGAGAAACATCCAGTTAGCATCAGGCAGTAGGGGCACAAAAGAGCAGGACTCTCTCACCAACGATAAGGCCGACCTCACAATGGGGGTCCTTATAGCCACAGGACATCATGGTTCCCACTGTGTCATTGACAATGGCAACAACATTCAGCTCCATTGCCTGCACACAAGAGGATGATGTTAGTTGCTGGGCAACATGGTCGTCACGGCAACCAGTGCTGGACCCAGAGGTCTCTCCTGCAGAGGGTCCTCCTCTTAAGAAGTGAGAGGCCCTTTCTCCCCTTAAAGGCCTGCCTCAGTCCCAAAGCCCCCCTGGAGGCACACTCCTTACCTGTCTGCGCCCAAGAGCTTCCCGCAGCAGACGCACAACATCTTGGCCCTCACAGCCTGATGCACTGAAACCCTTTGTCCAGTTCAGGAGGATGCCCTGGGGTGGGACCAAGGCAGGGCAGGAAGCTGGAGGCCCCTTGGAATCTCACTTGGCCTCCCCAAAGCCTGCATCCCCTCAAGCATACAATGTCCCCCCTCCATAAGCAGGATCCCAGGCCCACTCTGTCACACAGTTGAGGGCCTTGCCCTCTGCCCCCTGCCGACTCCTCAGAAGCCTTCCAGTGTGAAGAAACCTATTCATAACTGTTCAGCCTATGTCTTCTAGATTAGTACCAGAATGCTCAGATGGTCTCAGGGTGTGGCCATTTTAAGACAGTTGCCCAGAAGGAACGGCCCTTTGTAATTAGGTTAGGAAGGAATGGAGCTGGTCAAAAAAGTGCTGTATGTGAGAACGGAGAAGGCTCAGGGGGTCCACATGACAGCAGATTCTGTTCTTCCAAAAAGAACTACCCAGGGTCGCTTGAGAGAAGGAATTCTCGGAGCTGGGACAGAGCCGTGTCAAGGGAGAGGCACTCGTGTGTTCCAGATGTAAGTGAAGGACAAATAGAAAAGCCAGAACCCAGACACCTGGGCAGGACATGAGGGGACAAGACAGATGCACCTTACTTGTGAGAAATTGGCCTTAAATTGTGAACTTAGCGGCGGGGGCTTGACTGTACTTTCCTTGGTGTGCTTCCTCTGCACGAGGGGCAGGGGAATTAGTCCACCGCCGACAGGAGAAAATGACTGCTCCCCACAAATAGAAGCATGGAGAGCAGGTCAGAAAATCTCTAGGGCAGGAGACTTTAGAAGTACTAACCAACATTTCCCCCAGTAATATTCTGTTTTATCACTTTTCCTATGTGACCACATCTAGGGTGCTCTGTGCTCACTGTCCCAAAAACAGAAACCAGAAAGAGTGAGAGAGCGAATGAGAGAGAAGGCAGTTTGGGGAAGAC